AATCGTTAAAAATAAAGTTAAAAAAAAGATATAAAGCAATACGTATAAGTTATAAGAATTAATTTAACAATTATTTAACTTCTTTGTTTTTTTATTCATGAAAAAATATTTAATTTATTACATTTCATTTTTTAAAATAAAATTAATCATAAAATAACGATATTTTTAATTAAAACATGAGTATTATTCCTTATTTATAATTACTAAGTAACTCTAAAGATAAGTCAATGACTAAGATACTCAAAAATATTCAATATAAAGAAATTATATTATTATTATTATTTAGTTCGAATATCATTTTATTTAAAACAACAATTGTAATGTTAATTGAATGTTTTATAATGAATAGAAAAAAATATGGGGTGAAAAAATTATGAATTTTTAATACTTAAAGAATAGGAAATTCCAGTTAAAAATTTGGCCTTGAAATATTAATAGCGGGTATTCAATACATTCTGGTGGATTAGGGAATTCCCGTCTTAAGTATTTCTTTGAAACTATTAAGCGGGTAGGTATTATGCATATTGTTCTACCACATTCATGCTAATTCACTGTAAGCAAAATGTGAGACCATCATCCCAACATACAAATGAAATATGCAACACACTCTAAGTGTCGCGCTGCCGAACCGCACAAACATAAACCGCTATACCGGCAGCGCTGACTACCCGTCATAAAAAATTTTTTTTGCTTAATCTAATCGCGATCAGTCAATTTTTTTGCGGATTTCGTTACTTTAATGTTTATTGCAAAACACTAAAAAAAAAACTCTTTAATTTTTTGAGGGAGAAGTCATTGAAATTTTCATTTCTTAACTTAAAAGATAATTAACAATTTGAAAAAAAAATTATTTGAATTCATACATATTTTCTTAAAGTACAAGTTTTGAACTATAACTCCTGAAAATTTCATTAAAAAATCACCAATCGTTTTCTAATTATTAATTTTTTAACTAAAAGTAGTAAAAATTTTCAATTACAAAAAAATTATTGTTATAATTAAAATTAAAAAAAAATAAGCGGGGGATTACGTGCTCATGATGACTACTTTATGAAAAAATACTCACATTCAAATTCGATGATCAAGTGGAAAATGGGTGGTCCACTTGACGTGTTTTTACTCATATGTTATTAGTATTTATTCCATTTCATACAAAAAGTATATCTTCAACAAGGAAAGTTCTTGCCTCTCATATTTTAAGTAAGATGTAAGAAAAAAAATATTATTGTAGTTGATTAAAAGATCAAAGAAAGCTTTCAATTGTCTAAGAATTGAATATCGAAATGGAAAGTAATAGTCCACTATAGAACAGCTAAATGCACGTGAAATAATGTAATTAAAAGAAGAAAAAACGGTAGCTTCGGTTGCACAGAAGCTTCCGACATTTGACACGAATTATTGTCTAAAGCAATGGTACAATATCCGAACAAATTCATCAGATTGGACGACCGATCTAAACGAAGTTCTTTTTTATTTGTATACCCTTCGCAATATATACCCTTCGCAATATATACCCTTCTCTATAGCATATAGCGGTCATATAAAGCAATGTAAGCTATTTGCTATAGGGATCCTATCTGAACAATTCCTTCGAAGAATGCATCATTGCCCCATGCAATCAGTCATGCCCAATTTCTTGAAGATATCTCGTCAAATTAAAAAGCTTTCCAAACAAGCACTTTATTCCCATCGTTCAGTTTGTATGGCAGCTATATGAGAGTACCGTTCGGACAAATGAGCAGCTTCTTGGTGAAAAGGGTGCAAAATTTTAATTTTTTTGTGAATTTCGTTTTGAACTATATTTTTCTCAGTTTTGAGCGGTAGAGATATAGACCTTTGAAACGTTTCTAAGTATACCGAGTCACATTAGTACAACTTAATTCTCTGAAAATTAAATTTTTTGACTGGAATTACCTCAAAAGGCTAAGAGCTTATGCATCTTACAATCACATTTCCCTACTTAATTAAGATTATACTTTTGCACCATGAGTTATATTAAAAGCACTACAGGGAGATAGATTGAAGCTTCCCATACATAACCAATATTAGTATTATTTACTGCATTGCATAGAGAGCAGCTCATATACCATTTCTGTGAAACTCTGCATCATGGCAACTCTTATCACAAAAACTATTTTAATTAACTTCATTTCGATACTTTTATTTCTGTGTTACTTTGTCTTATACATTTTTTAATTTCAAATGTTCAACCGGTGTCAACCTTCTGACCTTTTTGTTCTTGTTTCATGTCATCAAAAAAAAAAACATGCGTAACATTAACAAAAAAAAAAAAAAAATAGTAATTTCGGTTGAACCTTCACAAATACAAAATATTCCTCACAAGAACTTGACTTTGATCGGTCAGTTTGTACGACAGCTATATGCTATAATGACCCGATCTGAACATTTTCTTCGGAGATAACACCATTATCTTAGAAAATAACTCATGCCACATTTCGTGAAGATATTTCCTCAAACGAAAAAGTTTTCTTTAGTTCAGTTTGTATGACAGCTATATGCTGTCCGATCTGAACAATTTCTTCGGAGATTGCACTATTGCCTTAGACAATAACACATGCCAAATTTCGTGAAGATAGCTTTTCATACAAACACTGGATTCCAATCGTTCGGTTTTCCATACAAGGACTTGATTTTGATTGGTCAGGTTATATGACTGACATATCCTTCCGACAAATCAGCAGTTTCATGGTAAGAAAATTACGTATGTAAAATTTCAGTCCGATATCTCAAAAACTGAGGGGCTAGTTCGGGTTTATACAGACGTACGGACAGACGGACATGGCTAAATCGTTTCAGCTCGCCATGCTGATCATTTATATATAGACTTTATAGGGTCTTCGAAGTTTCCTTCTGGGTGTTACAAACATCGTAGCAAACTTAATACACCCTGTTCAGGGTATAAAAACTCCACTTTTCAGAAAAGATGAATCTTTCACAAATTTTGTAAACGTGCTCGAAAATATCCTTAAAAGACGTATTTCTCGAATATAGGTATATAAAGAGTATTCTTAAAAGATTTGCGAAAACCTGAACATTAAGTTATAAAGATATACATATGTATATACAATAGTATGTAAGTACATCGAATCAAGTAGCGTAGTAGTATGCTAGCACGTTGCCTAAAATTCTCAAGTAATAACAAATCTTCAATTTCATATATTTTTTGTATAGTCTCATTAAAATTCGGCCCTATTCTCGTTTTCGTTTTAATTGTCGTTTCCAAGTTGTTGTCGTTGTTATCGTCGCTTCATTTCTATATTCGTATTCTTGAAGTATGATACGCCAATGAAAAGTTATCGAAATTTTTAAATTAAAATGAAGATAGTACGATAACGCCCAATAGCGCCATTGTATCTGACGCTGTTAATTGGTGTTTTAAAGAAAATATTTGAATATTTTTGTGAATTTAAGTACATAATAAATAAGACAATAATTATAATAATATTTAATTTATGCCAACCGTCTCCATCGCGACATGATGGTGCATTAAGTTTTTTCGAAATATCCCTCCAAAAAGTATCGAAATTCAATGGTTTTATTCCCTTTCTTAAATCTTTGGATGCATATATGTGTATAGTGTCCTATAGCTCTGCAGGGCATCAAAGTGCCACAATGAAACTCTTATATTTATTTCGATCTTGTGCTAGTCTCTTTATTTGACCAACTTGAATAAAATAGTCTCCCAAAAACACAACAATCGATAGTTAAAGTCGCCTGAATTTTGCGGTCCGAAACAAGCAGCTACCAAACTAATTGTAATATATCGTTTGAACATCAAAAATATGTCAAAGGATGTAATTTTGAAGAACACCGTTAAATGAATCTAGTTGATGCCAAATTTCACTCATTTGGATGACATTTTCCGTTTATTCTCATTGTTTACGGGAACTACGTTATGCCCATTATCAATAGTGCAACTTTATAAAAAAATAATAGTTTTACACTTTAGGTACCCAAAGCATTATACTTTATGTGCACAAAACCTAAACTTCTTGACTTGACATAACCATACACAACACCATACAAATACGAAATATACACAGTTGCATTTACACGAAAAATATATAATATTATATACAATTTTTATTTATGTTAAAAAACTACAAATATTAACTAACTACATACATGTATATATACTAGGGCGGAGTAATTTTCATTAAATAATAATTTCTTTTATTGGTATTGAGTAATTGGATGAGATTGAATAAATCAGATAAGAGCAAGATTAGATTTTGGTTTTGGAGTTTAATTTAATAGCAAAAATTTTATTAAGAATTAAAAATTGATTAAATATAAATCATTTAGTATAAATCATAATATCGTAAGTTTGCCGACCAGTGCTCTAGAGTATTGAAGACTGTGCGAACTCTAGTTCGAAATAGTAGAACACAAAGTACGCAAACTCGAAAAAATATTAATTTTATAACAATTTCTTTTTTAATTCTAAATTATACGCTTGGGACTAAATTTATTTTAAATCCGGTAATCTATAAAAATTTAAATTTATTATATTTATATATTTGAATTATATTTATTTTTTAATCCCATATTTGGAATAACAAAATAAAAAAAAATGAATGTTAATTCAATCATATTTAATGCAGTATTTGTAATCCTGCGAATATCCAATGAATTTCAGCTGTTTGGGAGTAGTAATCAGATTGTTTGTATCTTATACAATTGCTGGCCATTGCGTTCATACTCGGTTAGAATAGTCGATTCTACGCATGTGAATTGCGATACTTTCATATGCCAAGGAATTTCAACTTTAGAATATGATGTCTAATTCGGAATGTTTACGCTGTACAAAACTTACTGCGTCGTAATACATAAAGACGAATAATTCTATGATGGTTTTGTACATCATTTGATAACTTGTTTTTACGCAGCGATAAATTATTGTACATATTTATGTACAAAGAAATGGTTATTTAGTGGTTGTTTTACAAACATGCAAAAATAAAGCAATTTTTACGTACCTGTGCATTGAGAATTAGATGACATTTGTTGTGAAGTTTTCGCTGGACAGACAATCCTTATTTCTAATATCAGTCGTTCAATAAATAAACCAATCAATTGACCAAGTTTGTTTTAAATTATTCAATTAGTCAAATATGTTGTTGAAATAAATTTTTATATTTCAAAATATTCGTTTGAGGTATAATTTGCAAAAAAAAAAATAAGAGAAAAATCGTTAGTTAAAAGCATGTTCATCCTAAACTGCACATTAAATTTTTTTGTTCGCGTATTACGTTTAATTATTTATTTTTTGTTACTAATTATGATTTGATTATCGACAATATCGTTTTTTTATGTGTTTTATACAGTCAGTTGAGTCATTGCTGTGGAGCTGAATATGAATGTATGTTGAATGCACCCATGTACGAGTATATAAATATATACTTGTATACTAATATTTAACGTAAATCAAAAATCAAGCAAGCTGAATAGAAAGAACTAAAGTTATAGTACTTTTAACTACTAGAATGTTCCATTAATCGCTTTCCAATGCCAAACGACTTACCAATAGAAAGATAAATGTAAAAAACGAATTTATACATACAGGCGGAAATACAAATCAAGTTATAAAAACCATTTCAAACCATTACGCTATCAAAATTGAATATAATTTTCATTAAACGATAAATGATATGAATAGGTTCAACCTTGCAGCAAGACTTCTAAAGTAGTAATCTTGTGTTATACCATTCGACAAGAATTGAATGCAGGTTATGCTCCAAACAATAATAGAATGCACCGTAAGTTCTTACCAGAAAGTCGCATTGTTAATAAGGACAAGATAAAATATGCCCAAAAACATTTTTTATAATTGAAGAATGTATATGATATAGTAATTAAAAAAATGGATCAGAATATCAGAAGAGAAAATTCGAATTATAATTATTTTATTTAATTATTTGATCTCAAGTCTCAAAGAATTAATCTCATGAAATTATATCCAAATTAACATAAACTTTTTTAATTAAAACATAAATTAACGAATTTAATCGAAAACATAAAAAAGAGCTTTAATTTGGCTGAAGCTATAATGCAGGTTATATGTATAACCAAATTTGAAAAAGTAACCGGCAAACCTTTATCTTGAGTTTGATCGGTCAGTTTAAATGGCTTCAGTGGTCGAATCCGAACAATATATTCGGAGAATGTAGCATTGTCCTGAACAATAATCTGTGTCGATAAATGAGTAGCTTCTTAGGGAGATCGACAACTCAAAAATATTAAATTAAATATGTATATACATTTGTATACTCAAACATGGCTAAATATTAATATACCACCTCCAGGGTATAATTAGGGGCACTCGTGGTGATAAATCATTCTTTGTTTTTGGATATTTCTATTGTATATACCTTTAAAAATAGTATAATATACTAAAATTTTTAAAGAATATTTCGAATATTTTTTTAGTTGAGTTTAAAGCATTTTACTCAATAGGACATTTTTGAAATTGACTGCAGTCATCCGATTGCTTTATTATTGTTATTTTTTTTTTTTTTTGGAGTTTTGTACATATTTCATTTACAGTGTTCAGTCTTTTGTTCGTATGGAACGTGTAATTTCGGTGGGCCAAAAATCACCTAATATTTGATAAAATTTTGAAAATGTATTCCCAAATCTGCCATTTAGTTAATATTCAATTTTATTTTGTTTTGATCCACGATGAAGGCCGCAATCACTGCAGCGGTCGAGGACACTTTTTTAGTAACTAAACAGCGTTTTTTTAAATCGCACATTACGGCGTAGACCGATTGCTTCCATACTTAGAACAACAGTATGGTTTCATTTAAATATCATTGAAATATCTCAGAGATTTACTGATATTTTCGCCAAGAAATCTGCCATAGTCACTGAGGTCCATACATTCGGTCAAAACTAGTTAAAGAGTGCATTACCGCGTTAGTAATATCATCGAGTTTCTTCCATATTAGATGGCTGCCCGGTCACAGCGGAATCGCCGGAAACTGCAAAGCCGATGAGCTTGTTAAGGTGGGCACCCTTAGTCCAACTTCATGCGATCCGAAGCGGGTCGATTTTCCGATGTTTTCTTGCATTCTAACGCTGGTCAACAATGCGTGTGAGCCGTAAGAAGTCATCCGAACTACTTGCTCTTATCAAAGTCAATTTCGACGTAATTATAGGTGTTCTGACTGGGGAAGGACCAATAAGTTCACACGCGGTGTGGCTAAATATTTTGTCGGACGCTCCTTTCCAAAGCTGTATGAGGAAGGCGAGTTGGAATGATCATGTAATTTTCTCCTCTATTTCCTGGCTTTTACTGACTGAGAGTGAAATATCTCGGTAGACACACTGTCGGCAAACTTAGCGAAGTGGCTGGGATGGATACTAATTGCCTTAACAAAATAAGCTCAAAACGCTTCGTCAACCTATGAGGTAGTGTTGAAAGTTTTGGGAGTTTATGGGTAACAATCGATCCTAGTTAACCTAGTTCCGCGATATCCCCGTCAAATCGTTCGGATGTTCGCCACTTTCGCACTTTAAGTGATATAGCATTTTAACTATTAGCTCCAACGTTACATAATTAAGTTAGTAAAATGAAAGAAATGAAAGTGCGTCTAAAGTTTTGTAAGGAACATAAAAACTGGTCCGTTAAAGATGGGGAAAAAAATTATATGGTTGGATAAAACAAAAATCAATCCTTACCAATTGGATGGTAAACAGTAATACTGGCGTCTTTCACATTAAAAACTTCGAAAACATCATGTGCGACAGACTATAAAACATGGTGGAGGCGTTTTCATGCTATCGGGGTGCTTCACTTGTTCCGTTAGTCAAAATTTTTGGAAAGAAGACTATTTGAATATTTTACAGTCAAAATTTTATGGACAGAGGGAGAGATCGTTTTCCAATGGGATAACCATTCGAAGCACATTTCCAAAATTATTACTGGCTGGCTCCAATGTCAACGATTTGCCAGCACAAAATTCCCTAAATTTCTTAACCCGATTGAAAATTGTTCAAAGAAGAGATTGTGCAATTGCCGAACAGCGTCGAGCAATATGGAGCAGAGGCCATTGAACCAAATATTAAAAAAAATCAATTTGAAACCATTTACTTTTTATGAGCAAAACTGTACTTAATGAGTATGTTTTAGTTTTTGTTGTATTTTTCTTTGGTTTTTGTTATGAAACTCAAATTTATTTTACAATAAATATCCTTAAAATGAAAGAAAAACTTTCATTTGACAAAGGTTATCCGTGTTTTTCTTTTGCAGCGCAGTTAAACCTAAGCAACTTTTTTTAAAGCGACTAAGAAGTTGACTTTAATTAAATTTGTTTGAGAAAATTTTTTGTATTTTTTACAAACATTATTCTTGGTAAAAATTAGTAATATCAAATGAAAGAGGACATTTTCACTCACAATCGTACTGAATATAAGCGAAATCGGTTCGGTCTGTTAATAGAAAATAAATACTTCCAAGATCATTCAAAAAATAGCAATAACTTCTGAAAATTTTCGAACTTCGAAAAATAGTCAAAGTTGTATTCTTTATTCATTGTTTAGAGCCAAAAAACGTTTATTGTACGACAAAAGCTTGACCATCGAAAAAATGCAGGTACATTTGAGAGATTTTGGCTCTTACATTGTTTACATTTGACAAAAAATTTATTTGATCTTCAATGGTAACATTTTGAGTCAAACTTGTTTATGTCATATGGGTATTTTCCTACACAAAACACTCAAAAAACCCTTTTCGATTAAGAAGTCACTGTCATTGATAGTCGCATCAAACTTTTGAATATCCAAAATATAGCTTTGTAATAACTAAAAATGTAATAAAAAAATCTAATGAATTAAAGAAATATAACAATTTATTTAAAAAAATAATATAATTACATTATTGAAATTTCTTCGTTTATCCTACTTTCATTTAACACTTTTTTAAACCGCTAGACAATTTTTAAGTACAAACATTCATACCTATGTACATAATTTTTGAATATAGCGGTAGTTTGTATGTAGTCTTTTGGTGTGGTAACTACGTTTCAGTACTTTTGTGGCAGACACAACAAACGCGTAATATACGTTCTGTAAGCAAAAGTAAGAAAGAGTTTTATTTTAATTTTGGTCATATATGATAGAATTTGCATTAGAAATCGTTAGTTTGAAATGTTTAAGATCCCTGGGTAATTCAAGCAAGTAATTCACCTTTTTTCATTATACCGCTTCACTTAACTTTATTACGCAACAGTCAATCTTTTTAATTTTTTAAGATAACCCCAAAATATTCTTGTAGGTTTTTATATAGGAACGATCATTTTAGGTGAAATTTCATACAACTAATGAGCGAAGTTTTTAGCTGTTTAAGATAAATCATACTATTGTTTGTCCATCTTTTTTTCTGTATAATGATATTAGTCAAAAGTAGTTATAACAATTATTTCACGGATAATATTTGTAGATATATCCACTACTTTAAAAAGAACAACTAATTTTAGTTCCTATTCCAAAGCGGGATTAAAAATTAGCAGATTAAAACAAATTACACTATAATTTAGCAAATCATTCCTAATACTTTAAGGATAATGTATGCGAAATGTTAGTGGTATGCGAGGTGAACAGGTAAGAACATAACATACCTTTTAGACTCTCGATCTTTGGAAAATATGTATTTCGGCGATGTTGTGCGATTTCACCATCAACTGTAACATCCACACATTTTTTAAGAATGAACTTCCCGTTATGTTCATTGTCACCACACATGTTATTTGTAGCAAACAAATTAGGCAGCACGTTACCAACACCAAATATTTGTGATGAGGGCATACTAGCGTTACCATCGTACAAATCATTATCTATATTGGGTACAAAGCAATCTTGTTTCAAGGCAGATTCGCAGCTTTTACTGTTTTTGGAGCCATTATTGTTGGCGTTACCATTAACAGCAAGTGCAAAGCATCTCCCCACTTTTGATACATGCGACCGCAAAATAAATAAACTTAAGGGATCGTTAGCACTGTAGTCGCCAATAGCTGTTGATAATTGTGTGTCTTCCATTGCGGTTTCTCTATTTCGCCTGCGTTGTTGGATCAATCCAGCACCAGAAGGTTTGAAGGTGCCTGCAGTTCGGATAGCATATTTAAGAGTTGATTTAGATTAAAATTTTCTTGTTGATCCTGCGATATTGTGTAAAGCTCCTGCTATTAAAAATTACCCTTGCAGAGTACTGTGTCATAGCTAAAAATAATAGGCCCATCATCTATGCCAGTTATCTCAATAGCGAAAAAGTTTAATTAGTTCGCGTTCGACCATCCGAATAAGATTTAAATATTGTACAAGTTATCGCATACGCATTACAGCGTATGCCATTTCCTAATGTGTAAGTGTATATTTTCTATTAGTTTTATTTCGTTTGTTGCTGTTGATTCGCCTACCTATTATACCTCTATACACATACCTATTACAACAACAACTGAATAATTTCTAATAAACAGGGATGGGCACGACCAGTAGCGGAATAGTTGCCCACTTAGTGCTTCAAGCATTACAAGTAGATTTAGCGCTTTTTGAAAATTTAAACGCCAAAAAATTGTGCCTAGTGTCCTTTTTAGCGCTTTTTTTTGAACTCATAGATGGTTTTTAACCCTCTCTAGTAATTTTGGAATATTTGATTAAATAAAATCTATCTGTAGATGATACACAGGGGTGTTGTATTGTAGAATCTGATAGTTGTCGGAATCAGAATTGAAACCGATAAAAAAAAGGTACGTGTGGCACTTGGGGACTGCCGCGGTAAAGTTATTGCATAGCATTTTTAATTAACTTATGCAATTATATTTTTTTATTTATTTTTTATGCAGTATTTTTTGTCTTTGATATTAATTCAAGTAATACTTTTTAAGTGTGGTGACCGATAAGTAAACAATTTTTTTTCTTTTATTAAATAAATTAAAAGTTAATGTTTTTTAATATATTTTTATTATCTTACAATACATGTAGGTTATTCATGATTTTTTTTATCATTGAAAACAGGGATAAAGGGATGCCCAAATTATTCCAGTATGAAAGCGCCTCAAAATTTGCGTTTTTTATAACAATTTCCAATTTTTGGGAATATAAATTAAAATGCCCAACATTTATTAAGATTCAATATTATTATACATGTATCCGTTAAACATATGCAGAAACAATTTAAACCCTTTATTGTGATTTGGTTATATATTAAAACAATTGATTTTTGAATTTTCAATACTTAATCAAAAGAATAAATGTTTTTTATAATTTTCAAATGAAAATTAATACTACTAAGCATGGCGTCACAAAAGATTTCATCACATACATATCAATTTCGCGTTTTCTTTCATTTTCATTGTTTTCCAATTTTTGCTAGTGATCTTCAACAGCAGCAACAAATCTCTTTGTTCACATTCTGAAGGATTTCAATCTGGCCGTCCCTCTTTTTCCAATTGCTAAACATCAGACCTCCTGAAATTCGACAGTTGCCTGAGTTCCGGAGGTTTTGACGTTTAGCAATTGCGCTCTCATTTCCAGTGAGAGATGAATTGGCCATCTCTTTATCTCTGATTTAAACTATAGGTTTATGGTAACTGAAATAAGAAATATAAGTTTGAGACTTGATATCATCCCACATTTTTTTGTGGATTCTTGTGGATCATTATTTATTTTCAAATTCAACTTTTCCGAAAGAAAGTCAACCGCTCTTATTTTTTTATCAGCGAAAATACGCCTAAAAGTATGCAAACATTTTGCGCATATTTCATGAACGTGTTAAGTTTATTTCCGTTAAGAAATATCTTGATTCGGTCGCCGCGATAGAAGCTATGCAATAGCTAAAAAATGTAGTAGTTGTCATGAATTCAGATATTATTGGTTTGATGTTCGAAAAAGAAATTGTATCGGTTTTGGGGGTCACGGAAACCAATTTTATAGGTTTTGTTATCAGAAACAACAAGAAGATTGGAGCTGACTGATTTGAAAAGTATTGTAAGTTAAGAAAATAATTTATTTTATTATTACGACGGATATAAACGTATCTTTATTTCTAAAGAGGAAAACATAAGAATAAAACACAAAATGCCATAATTATTGTGTTCACGGAAAAAAATGCAGATAGTTTAAGAGGATATACAAAACGCAATAAACGTAATTTAGCGTCATAACAAATGCGTATTTGTTCAGTCGATAATGTGATATAAACCTGTAATATAAGCATGAGTACCCACAAGCTCTTACAAATAAGTGCAAGCTAAATTTCACATTCGATTCCCTGGTGCATCAAGTAGATTTCTGTGATTTCTTAATATCTTCCCTTTAGTTCAAGGCATATTTTTAAAAGCAAAATTCGAAAACGTTTATCTGTACTGTGTACTGTGTCACTAAATGAATTGCTCTACATAAAAAAAAGCTAAAAAAAAAAGAGAAACCTGTTGTGACAATTAATATATAACAAATGATAATTTATATAACTTTTTCCAACTATAGCAAAGACATTTCTCAAGTTTTCCTAATTTCTTTGAAATTACTTGTAATTTGTAATATACCTACATTTTGAATGTGTAAAGGCTAATTTTCAAATATGTCTAATCATTATGAACGAATAACTTTGTTAGTAATACAAGTATTTTTACTTAATTCCTAGTTTTGGTGCATTTTTAAATTTGAAATTTGGCAACTATGATGGTTAGTGCTCTTTTTTTGTTCTTAGCTTGTTAGTGATTTTATTTTTGTATTATGTACATTAATACGCAAAGTGAAATAAAAAATTATAATGGGTATCTCGTCCACCATTATCATTTCCCTTATTAATTAATTAATGTTTGAAAATCTTGAAATTTTACGCCAAAACTCATCTTCGGACACAAACCGACTCTTCAGAATTCAGGTAGCGAGAAATAAACTGTTCAATGAGACGAACTTTTGGTGTCCGAATCATATCAAACAATGCCAATGCAGTTGGTCATCAAGACCACATCATTTGACTACGTTAGACCATTTTTTGTGGAGTACGACAAGTCAATGAATCCTTGCTGAAAACCCAGCTAAAACCCCACACTCGGAGCGTTATTGGCACATCAGGACAGCTGTTAAAGCAATAAACATAGTAAAGAATAGTAAAAAATTCCAGAAGATTTAAATAAAATATTTGCGTGAAGTAAAGACAAAGGTTGTCGATGTTTTGAGTATCTAATTTTTCAAGGGAAATAGATAATGCTTATCGTTATAACAATTATTTTCGTTCGAGTTTTGTCAAAATTTCAATATATAATCTTTTATTTAGAAAAATTTAAATTTATTTTAAGTTGGCTTTTGCAATACACTGCTTCATCAATGTACATACATAAAATTTTTAAAAAGTAAAGAGTAAAAGTAATACTTAGCTAAAAATAAAATTTAAAAAACACAATGAGAAATTCGTAATGAATAATTAATTAAATATACATTTGTTTATAGATTGGTTCAAATAAAAACTTGTTTATGTAAAAATGTTTAAGCATATTTCACCATAACATAAAAATTGGTGAACTTTGTAAATTAAAATTGTCAGCGTGGAATTTACAATTTTTTTCAATTACCGGTAAAATATGGTTTTGTAACACATATAATATATTATAGTAGACATGCGGTTTAATAAATATATATGTATATGAAAAAGTGTGCGAGCATGTGTTCAGTATATATAATGTATAATATTTTTGAGAGCATTTTTTTACGAAATAATTTATGTTGTAGGACAAATCTGCAACTAAATTTTAATTTGCAGAAACTGGCACCAACCTAATTATCGCGCATATATCTTATCTGTATGTACTTAAAAAAAATCACAAGCGATAATATTTTCCCTTAAACTGCAGTTACAAAAATTAAGATCGATCGTTAAAAAATGAGGAACAGAGCACCAAAAGGCTTTGATGCATACAATCATTAAAAGGGCAAACACAATATATTTGAACAACTTACTGGTAAGAACAGCACATTAGAAAATTCAACGACCTAGAGAAGATAATATACGCAGAGTTTGTGATGTACATTTTGATTTTAAGGTTGTATATCATCTTCGTTTTTGTTGTTTTAAATTTAAAATGACCTTTTCTTTTCTTTCATTATAGAAAAGCAACCATACCAATTTCATACATCATGTTTTAAATTTATTAGAGCTCTAGCTAATTCACATAGAACTTTTGATTCGCTTTGCGTCATACATTTGATTTAAAGAAAAGTTCGATATACGCTTTTATATGAGTACATTCATTTGAGGCTAAGCCCAGCAAAGTTTTGAGAGTTCTCATCTTTTTACGCTTTGCCAAGCAACAGTCTTCATTTTTATTGAAGAAAAACACTGAAAGCAAAGCGGTCATTGTGGCATAACCTTTGTTTCTTCGCCTCGTTGTGTTAGTATGACAGTTCATACTAAAAGCGAGAAAAATTGTATGTGAATGGGTAATTCCAAATTTTTTATCAAAACCACTGGCAACGGAGTAATTTAATATAAGTCGAGTTAGTTTTGAAATAAATGAGAACATATCAAACAACTGATGGCAAGAAATGTTTGACTTCATTCTCAACTCCACCGCAATATGTTAATATATGTTTTTATATTCAGTGGCATTTTAACTTAGTTTGTATATGCATATTTGTTGAACTGAAATTATGTAAGTGAATGTTTTCAAAAGGCAAATTTTTTTCTGTTAACATAAGCAATAATTAAGTAAAACAATATAACGGCAAATTGCGAGATTTTTTGGTTCAAAATTTTTAAATATGCAGTATAAGATAAGTTTTATATAATGATGTGAGTAATAATATGTATTTGTTGTCTATTTGCGGAATCAACTTTTTAGTTATTTTTTATGTAAACACATTTAACAAGATTACCTTCGGGCTCTTTTGATATGACTGTTGTGCTGCGATCAACAATTCCCTTTTTATCCTCTACAAAAGAAAAAAATTAAAAAAAGAATGGAAAATAAACAAATGGTAATAGTGTTTCTGTTGCACTTACAGCTGGTTAATTTTTTTGCTTAACAGTTTAATTTTTTCTAAAACTAATTTTTGTTATAACTTTCAGCATTCGGATTACCTATACTTTCTTCAAAGCAAATGCATGCCATATTTCTCAAAAATTGTTCTTTTGAATTATCAACCGCCAGATTAGCGCGATGGGAAAATTAATAAAAAATTACATCGGATTGTATTAATACAACTATTTAACTATTTGTTTTATAAAAAAAAGCAAACCAATTACAAGGATAATAATATAAAATACCATTTATGTTCAACATAAAGGCGAAAAATAACTCGACTAAATGATGAATGTCTTAATTTTTAAATATGCTTTTGCATTATTATAACTTTATTGAACTTGAGGAAAATTTCTAGAAACACATCCGTCATTCCCTCCCAAGCGCTAACATGCCGTTATAATTTTTCTAGTATAGAAGCGAATAATTACTAATATTCAACATATTCAACAAAATACATGAACTTAGTTAAAACAAAAATCTGCACTTTCCTTTACACTTTCGCAACATGTTGCACAAAAGTATAATACCTTTTCTTACCTAGCGACCGAAAATTACGTGAGACTGATATAAGTAAAGAAAATGGAACGACGTATTTACGTAAAAGAGGCATATTAATATTACTTTCGAAATAAAAAGCAACAACAAACACTATTAAGAAAAATATAATAAAAACAAGAAATAACGTGACTTCTGCTACAAAAACTTAATTTTGATCGATCAGTTTGTATGACGGCGATGACTAATAGTGGTCCGATATCGACAAATGATTAGACAACAAATGCATAAATACCATGCAGAATAATATGATTTGAAATACCTAAGAAATGCTCATGGCGACTCTACAATAAAAATTAAGAGCGGGTTAAGATATAATATTATTGAAATAATGCAATATTATTGATATAATAAAACAGGTGGCTTGCATTAATGTTAAATGCATTTAATTTGATATTGCAGTGTATTTTCCACCACGATTTTGTTTCAAAGAACAAGATCACTACAACTTTTATAGAAAACTTTGCTGTTAACTTATTGCTGGTGGAGATTATAATGCCAACACCCTTCGTGGGGCTCAAGTTTGGCCAATCCCAAAGGAAGAGAGCTATATGAATGCATAAATATCAGTAATTTTTCAGCACTATCTACGGGGAAACCCACATATTGGCCTTCAGACTTCCGCCAAATACCGAATATTCTAGAGTTCGCAGTTTATTTTCGAGTACGACGAGATCATTTAGATATTTCGGACAACTATCACTTAAGTTCAGACCATTCGCCAATTATAATTTCAATAGCCACTGCTCTTCCAGCACTATTAAACAAATATAAAATTGTCACATCTAGGACAAAGATTTTGTTATTTAAAGATTGGATAAATAAATACAAATATATCTTTTAAAACTGATTTAGAAGTGGATACGGCTGTGGAGTCACTCGTTTCTACGGAAAAAATTTCGCGGATATCCCACCATACAGTCGGTAGAAGCGGCTTCCAGCATTAACGTCGCTTTGTCCCATCATAAGTACTCGTCTTACGCTCTTCGCTTGCGCTTAGTGACAATCCGTGTGTATACATATACGATCACTTACACTCTACGCGCACATGCTACGGGTTTGCTCATATCTGCTTATAACAAGCGAAAGCTTCGAAAAAATTAGCAAACCAGTAGGTGTCTAAATGATAAAACCAGAAGCAATACAACATCACACCAACTTAAAAAACGCTTCTTGTATAAGAAATTGAGCAACGTCTAAGTTTTTCAAAAGTCTGGATCTGGATCAAAATACAGACTTAAAAAAGTCACCCCGTTTTAGCACTAATTTACAATACAATGTTGAGGTTGGACCACTTTTCTACACAATGGAGGTGTGCGGAAGCTAGATTGATTCCAAAACCAAATAACCTAATAATATTACCTCGTCCTACCGTCTTATTAGCATGATGGTGACATTTTCCAAAGTATTCAAAAGAATTGTTATGAGTAGATAGTTACCAATTTGAAGGAAAAATATAACATCAGTTTGAGTTTAGGAGAAGTCATGAGACTCAATGCCATCGTATATGCATTCGAGAAAAACTGTATTCTGCGGCTGTATTTTTTGGCATTTGACCGATTCTGGCATCCAGGCTTGCTGTATAAAATAAAATAATATTAACTTCAATAGCATACAGTATCTTTGCTGGTGTCTCACAGGGCTGTGTTCTGGGACTTGTCCTTTACACAATATTCACTGCTGATTTTCCTGTTGTCAATGATGTTCAACAAGTAGCCACTTACACTGATGATACAGCTATAATTGCACCTAGAGACACTGCGGCAGAAGTATAGTTTATTGTATAGATAGTGTACGCACTTTTACTATTTCAAACACAACCTTCATTTACGAGAATACACAGTGGCCGTCGCTACTACAACTCTTGCTACAAAATTCGAGCTATGTAGATTTTATTGCGTTGTTTTTTCGTTTAATAGTGTTTTGAGAGCATGAACATGGTCAGATTCCATATCAAACAACAATCTGCTCAAAACGCAAAGAAACTTGTCCGGCAGACAGACATCAGTAAATCTATTCGTTTGGTCATTTTGATAGTTTTAAGGGTTTTTAAATTTTTTTTTTGTCCTAAAATTGACGAAGTTACGACTATTTTTATACGTCTTATAAACGTTTTACATCAGATTTCAAAACTTCGAAGCGTTTTCCCCACAACTCACGTTTTCAAAGTCGGTGCTCCTCAAATCAGTTAATATTTTTAATTTTACTATAACAAATGAACCGATTTTTTCGCAAAAAATGAAAATGTAACTTCGGAAACCCCACAGCGTTATCTGAGCAAAGCGATTATCTAACCCAATCAAAATTACAGTTGATCTTTTAAGTTGATTCAGCACAAAAACGTGTAGCGTACTTGGTAAAGCTATAGCATAGCAGTTTTAGTCAACTTATGCAATTATAATTATTTATTAATTTTTTATGCATACCGCGTCATGGTGGTCCCATATTTTGTTTTGGATTCTTGTGGACCATTATTCATTTTCAAATTCAACTTTTCCGAAAGAAAGGTTGTCAACCGCTTGCAATACCTAATTTCAATTGTATTGTTCAAGTCAAACGAGATACTGTTCCCAAAGGTGGGGTAGCTTTTTACCAAAATAATAAAAATGTTACATCACTATGACTCCGAATATTGAATAATTTATTTTTTATTAACTAAATTTTTATTAAATTCTATACTTTTATTTGCCATTAAAAAATTGTACCTTAAATTTTTTTTTTTGAATCACCCTGCTCTTCAATTAATTTCTTCCGCATGAGATATGCGAAAATACGCCTACAAATATGTAAACATTTTGCGCATCCTTTGTGATCGTGTTAAGTTTAGTTCCGTTACGGAATTTCTTGATTCGGTCGCCGCGCTCAAAGCCCGCGATAGATGCTATGCAATAGCTTAAAAAGTATGTGCTTATCACTTGATCGATGGGCCACGGAAATCGATAATTCCATGAGTCTGGCGAGCAAGATACAAAAAATTCTAGCATGTCGAACCGGAAAGTATCTGGTCTGATGAAGCACAATACTATACAATCCCACAAGCCATTTTAGTAACACCTCAACAATTCCTCAATTGGCGAACATCATAACTACATATATAACAACTATAAGCTGACATGTAAGAAAGGGCAAAACTGAGCAATAAAAATTTCTGTGATAATACTTGAATTTCGTCCAACAGAGCATATTAAGGTAACGCCGCAGGAATAACTCTAAGGAAATGTAGGATTTTCTAATCGAAACCGATTCCAAACAAAACAGAATGGATTGAGGCAAAAACTTAACATGATGCAGCTCACGCAAAAATTGTACTACTTAACACAAATTGAAGCAGTTATAGCTGTTTTGTTTGGAAACACACCTTATATTAGACCGTAATAGAGAATGAAAAGCAAATGACTTAAACACATACAAAATATTTTTGACGAAATTAGTGAATAATTTTTCCTCATGGACAATGATTTGATTAAAACATCTTTTGAGTTTCCTGATATAATTTGTTTAAAAAAAATCATTAGGCAAGAAATAAATTATTGACTACATCAGAGCGAATATTATATTCTTCTTTGCAAAGTCATTTTTATTTATGAATTAAAAACATATATATTAATATATAAGGTTGGCCGTTATTTCCCTTCCGCTTTTTTGCTCTTCATTCAATGCTTTATAAAAAGTGTTACAGTGATCGGATTTAGTTAAAATATGCGCCGTTTTGTTCGATGATCTGTTTCCATCTAGACGGCAACTTCATAATACCTTCCTCGTAGAAGCCCTCCTCCTTATTTGCGAAGAATTCGGACAGCCACTTTTCACAAGCCTCTTTTGAGTTCAACTTCACACCACCAAGGGCATTCGCCATGGACAGGAACAGGTGGTAATCACTTGGCGCTACGTCCGGGCTATGTGGTGGATGCGATAAAACCTCCCATCCGAGCTCCCGTAGCTTCTGACGAGTCATCAACGAAGTGTGTGGTCTGGCGTTGTCCCGGTGGAACACTACACCCTTCCTGTTGGCCAATTCTGGACGCTTCTGGTCGATCGCCTGCTTCAAGCGGTCCAGTTGTTCGCAGTAGATGGTAGAATTAAGCGTCTGGCCATATGGGAGCAGCTCATAGTGGATGATTCCCTTCCAATCCCACCAAACACACAGCAAAACCTTCCTGGCCGTCAATCCCGGCTTGGCCACTGTTTGGGACGATTCACCCGCCTTCGACCACGACCGTTTTCGCTTGATATTGTCACCATCCGCTTCAAGAATGGGACGAGTTCGTTCCGTTTCAGCAGCATATCGCAGGCGTTGCTTCGGTCCAGAAGGTTTTTTTGCGTCAAATTATGCGGCACCCAAACATCAAACTTTTTTTTGTATCCAGCCTTCTGCAGATGGTTCAAAATGGTTTGGTGACTAACTCCCATCTCCTGGGCGATGTCACGAGATGCCATATGCCGGTCTAACTCGATGTATTCCATGATTTGATCGGTATTTGTCATCACAGGTCTTCCGCCGGCTGGCTTATCCATGGTGTCGTTTTCACCGGCTCTGAATCGTCGAAACCATTCCTCCGCGGTTCGAAGTGATAGAGTACCATCCCCCAAAACACCATTAATCTCACGGAACGTTTCTCTATGGGATTTGCCTCTAACGAAGGAAAACTTTAAAATAGCGCGAATTTCGGCGTTAGTGAACTCCATGTTTACACGTCTATAACTGTTGAACGCAATATCCAAACTAATCATGCATAGCGTTGTTTTGTAGGTTATGTCAAGACCTTTCAAATTATGTATAGTGTTGCCAGATACGAGCTCTGTAGCGCTTTGTACATAGCCGCGAAATTCAAAAGACGAAGAAGCAAAAGGGAAATAACGGCCAACCTAATATATTAAAAAATCTGTCCACAAAAGATAACGCAAATTTCACAAAACATTAACATTGTTTTAAATTTTTACATCACTTCACACATATGCGATTACAACATATAAATATTTATTTTTTTACTCGTCTCATTTAAAATTTTACTATTACATGATATTTTTCGGGTTGGAATGTTTTAATTTGAGGTTTATTTAATGAAATTACTATTATTTTTAATCGTTTTACTGGATCTAACAAAAACCTGATTTGTTATACAGTAATTTATAAACTGATTGTCACACAGGCTAAGAGAATTATGGGAAAAATTTTATGAATATATTAACATTGGCCAAACGTAAGCAGTAAATGTGAGGTTAGATAACTCTGAATATATTTTTTACAACTGTGGCTAAAAAAAATACAAAGAGCTTAAATAAAGTTTCATTATTACACAAGATTTAAATGTCTAATTTAGAAAAATTAGGGCTTGAGAGTTTTTGATGTGATTAACTAATTTCTTATTTAGAAACATATTTTGTCAATAATGGAGTGAGAAGACGGAATTCGAGAAGTGCATACAAGTTCAGAGGAGGAAAATAGTCTAATTATAATTTGTGTGATATGTAATGTTCAATTATATATATATTTCAAGAACATTAATAAATAGACGTTCAAAAATTAATTGGTAATTGGGTTAAAATTATTTTGATTTAATCCATTCCACACATAAACCAAAAAAAATTTATCATACTGTTGCATATTTTGGAATTAAACGATTAGAATCTTAAAAATTAACTGTATTTATATATTCAGCGCAATATATTCATATTAGATGAAGATAATGGAAAAATACACTAATTAACTATATAAATATATGTAATGTCTATTAAAAAGTAGAACGAAAAAAATGCTTATGTCAGTTGTCTTTAACTCGCCTTTTCTAGCCGCTATGTTGCAGATCTGCTCTTACTTAACTCCTTTCTATTTTATACATATTATAGTTATGCCAGCTTTCTGTTCATACCAAGAAGCATGAATATAAAGCCGCACAAAAAATACACAGTGTACAATTATTTTATAATATTTGAAATTCGATTTGTATTTAACATTGATTCCTAGAAAAAAAAAAAAATATTACAAAGAAAAGATTGAACTAAATGTCTTTATAACTGATTCAGTCCAGAACCTAAGCGTTTTGTTAATAGCGAACTTTTCTAAAGAAATTGATGATTTCAGCCAAATTCCGTGTCCCGAATCAGCTGATACGACCTATCTTATGAGAGCGCAATGTAAATGATCAGTCACCACCGATTCTACCGTCCGCTTCAACAGACCGTACGGTATGATATCCGCGAAAATTGGATTTTTCCGGTAGAAACGAGTGAGCTGAGAGTGAGAGAGCAATCTCTTGCAAAGCAGGGTTTCCAATCTCGATATTTTGTAGTATTTAAAAAATTAATTTGAATATATTTGAAATATTCTTATACTGTCGCAAAATTACAGTCGAATACAATTACTTATAAATAGGTAAATTATTTTTAATAGTTGGATTTTAGTTTTGAGCTTTTACATTATGAAAAATTAAAACTAAAAAACTAACTTGGTGTGAGAAATCGTGTATACAAATAGAATAATGGCAACATTGGTGAAATGAAAACAAAAGAGAACAACTGATGTCTGCGTTGCAACTACGGGCATAACTTTTGACAAATTAAGTTTAATACGGGCGGTAAGTAAGGAAGGGAGGAATGTCGGTGACTGTTTGGACACTAAGTAGTCAGAACTTGACGTCCACTTGAAAAAATTTAAACAAATGTGCATAAATAACATAGCGATCTTTCAAAATTCATACAGGTTCAAAAGTAGCCTTATACCAGCCAAACAAATGAGAACAGATTTGCTGTAAGCAGTATTTGCAATAATATTTTCATAAGTTTAATACAATATACCTGTTTTTTTTCTCATATCATATACATAATAAAAAGTCAACTTTCGTTTACTTGCTATATATGGATAGACTTTCAACTATCTGTTTCAAAAATATTGGGGCGATGCCCCGTTTTTAATAAATGTTACACGCATTTGTATGCAGATTTTATATAACAATAATATCTGGAAGCTACTGGAACTGCGTACACCAAATTTTAATTCCCTTATTCTTTATGCTTTCGCTCTTATTCATATTTATAAAAGTACAGAATCTGTTTTTTATAATTTGCACAACACGTAAAACAAAGCAAAGCAATATTAGCAATAGCAAATAGTATAACCATATGTAGTACATTTCTAATTATTTCACGAGAAACAAAGTATATTAGGAATGAGAGCAATCAGTTAGAAAACTCTTAGAAAAGCATAAATATTCCTATAAGAATGAAATTGAAATTATGATTTTTAAGAATTAATAAAATAAGAACAAATTTTATTCTACTTGATATAAATTTGAAACAAAGTATGAAAATTTAATTTATTTTTTGGTCCGTTCGTGGGATACTTTTATGCTTAACATATAAATTACATATATGGAGTAAATATGTTCTAAATTAGTGTCAACTATATGTCAATACCATTACATTTTATAGCAAAGTAGTTATGCATATTATACATATATATAAATATATATATCGCTTGTCGTGCCTAAATAATTCAGAAAATAGTCTTATGACCTATTACCTACTTCATATACAGCTTATCGAATAGCTAGGGTACTTTCATTTATTTTGTACATTGTACTCTTGTTTATCTACACAGTTCTGCAATTGGTGTGCATATATTAATCGCTACATCTATAACCTAATTCAGAAACAATCAACTTAATAAAATTAGAAATTGTACCATAAATTTTTGCGGTATAGAGCTACTTCAAACCGTTAACAACATATAATGCATATGACACCAATAATAATTATATATTTACCCTTAACGTCGTCATCTTCTAGTGTTGTACTTGAGGAGTCTGTTGATTCCTTAACTTGAGATCCCTCACCTTTCTTGGTAATCATACTCCTACCTGAAATTTTTTTTCATATTTTTAAACATATTTAGGATATGCCGCATTTATAATTTGGTATTATAAATATTTAATTCACGTATACCATACATGGCTTCACGTAATATATCCAATTCCTAGCGATCAACTTACTTGAAAAATTTCTGGTTGCTAACATTGTAGTAAGAATAGCACCCTTGAGTTTACGCCGAGCATTGAATTTTTTGAGACAATCCACAGTCTCTTGGCGATGAACCACCGAAGCCACACGCTCTCTTTGCTATATGTAATATTATAAATTTCATAGAAAAAATTAAGCCATTAAATTTAGAGTAAATAAAAAATACTTACGCAAATCCATGGATGCTTTAGCGCTTCAGCCGCAGTGATTCTTTTATTTGGATTAACTGTTAGCATTTGATTTATCAAGTTCTTTGCTTCAGGTGTTACGGTATCCCATTCAGGCGATGGATACTATAGGATTATAGTAGAAAATCCTAATGAAGTAATTAAGGAAAGGGAAAATAATTATGCTTACATCATATGCGCCAGCCTTTATTTGAGAATAAAGACGATGTTGATCCTCATCCCAAAAGGGTGGATAACCGACTAGTAAAATGTATAAAATAACTCCTTCGAGTTCAAAAATTAAGTTTCAGTAAATTTTACTTTAAATAAATTGGATTTATTAAACAACAGAAGAATGAAAACGAACAATATAGATTAATATCTATATTATTATATATTCCTATATTCTACTTAGTAATTAATAATGAAAACATAAACTTCCTCCACGTTTTTCATGTTAGTTCTCAATAAAGAGTTGCACTTAAAAGCGTTAACAATTTTAATGTAACCCTCTGTCTTAGAGAGGTCATCATTAAAAGAACAAGATGAGCAGTTTGAGAGTGTGAAAATATTCATTCTTATTATTGAAAGAGATAAGTTTATCAAAAGATCTAACACTAAGCATTCTAAGATTCTATGCGGAATTAAACGCAAAAAAATATATATGGAATATGTTCCAAAAGTGGAGTTATTCTTTTTTTTTGTTGCTGTGATCACAGAATAAAAACAAAATTACTATCTCTGCATCTCTGTCCAATAACTTAAATATTATAGGGGAAGTTATTATAAGTTATATTTCTTTTCAAAGGCTCGAGTGTCGTATTCACATGCAAAAGTTAATTTTGCATGCTCATATGATCGTGGTAAATAGGTTGAATAATTTCTCGCTTACCACATGCCCATATATCTACCGATTTGCCATATGGCTCCTTTTTCAGCACCTCCGGCGATAAGTAGCCAGGGGTGCCGGCAAAACCGAACCATGCCTGATGGTCGCCCTGAACTTCTATGGCTAAGCCAAAGTCGGCTAGTTTTACAGCTGCACCCTTGGCTTTACTAGCTAATAGTAAGTTTTCTGGTTTCAGATCACGATGCACCACACCATTCTGATGGCAATGATTAACAGACTCCAAGATTTGTTGAATGCAATGCGATGCATCAGCCTCTGAATAAAATTCGCGCGCAACAATATCTTCAAACAGCTCACCACCAGTAACACTGCAATCGTAAATTGAAAAAATACATGGCACTTTGTCGTTTCATGATAGTCCGCAATATACATACATACATACATATGAATATGCAATATATAGTCACATTCTCCCTTGCCAATATATAGATTTAAAAAAAATACTTACAGATCAAACACTAAGTAATGATAGTTTTCTTCCTGTATGCTATCGTGCAGTCTTACTGTAATAAGAAACATTACAGTTTATTCAAAGAAAAAATGGAGAGACAAGTATACAACTATTTCTCCTCAATGTAATAAAATATAATATTTACATATGTTTAATATATTATATATGGATTTTTTAGAGTTTTAAACTAATAAGAAGAGTTGAATAAATTCTATATGTATTCGTGACAAATCAACTTACCGATATTAGGATGGTGTAGTTTTCTGCAAATTCTAGCTTCTCGCTCTAATTTTTGAAAATCTACAATAAATAAAATAAAATATATTAACATAAACCATTGCGTATTGTATTTTACTATAATCGGATCTTTTTAATCGGAATGGATTCCGATTTATAATCGAACGAGGACTTTTCAGATAGCATAATTCCCCTAACCGTATAGCATTGGATAAGCCTTCAAGTAACCAAAGAATCAGCTGTTTTCCTATCTGTGTGATACATCTGAGAACACCTGATAAAATCTGCTTTTTTTTGACACAGAAAAACTAGACTCGAGTTGCTGGACTCTTTTTGACCGTGTGAATGCACAGAGCGACACCAAAAGAAAATTTGAAAAAAAAACACTCTTTTGAGTCCCGTGTAAAAGCACACTAAGTATTGAATGTTTTACGCAGCAGATGTGCATATGTTACCATTCAACGATTGTTAATATCGATGGCTACGATATCGATATATTTAGCAGTAAGATATACTGGTTAAATAAGACAAAAAAAAGGTGCGAACGCTGTATAGAGTGTTTTCAACTCTACTCCGTTATGTTCGCAGGTTCAGAAGTGACAACCGGAGACAGCTGGTTGAAATAACTGATTAATTGATAAAACTATACATGATAATTATAGTATCCAAGAATTATTATATTCGATTGCCATCTTGTGGGTCTGTGGATGGAACGGAATAATATAAAAATTTTGATTAAAAATCAGGGGTTGATCGTATAAGGGTAAATATTTTGAATCTCATATATTTTTCATTTGGTTTATATAGTTGTCGGCGGCATCGTCATTACGACACAATTGGACTCTGCTCCTTTTTCGTTTGCGGCCGAAATTGTTTTGTACGTGTCGGTACGTTTGAGTGTTTATTTCGTCTCGCTCGACTAACTTGTCACGATTTTATATACGACTATTTCGTTTTCGTTACTACATTGTTTGTTTTGCAGTCACGGCTTGCACACACGCGATATTTCCAATTTTATTTTTCATGTCATATTTCCCAAATGCGTTTTTTTTATTTCACATCTGAATACGTGTTTTGAGAGTAGACATGTAATACTTTGAATACTAACTGATTGAAAATTCAAAATAACGGATTATTACGTTTCATCTCTCCTTGTAATGAGAGTAGACATGTAATACTTTGAATACTAACTGATTGAAAATTCAAAATAACGGATTATTACGTTTCATCTCTCCTTGTAAGCTATAACTTGAGCAACAACTGAGATATAATGATCAAACTTGATACATATTTTCTTTGGCGCTCTTGGCCCTTGAAACGCCGAGTTAAGTTTAAAAGAACTATATGTATGTTTCTAACTTACTCAAAAAAAAGACTAAGAAACTTAAAAGGAGGGAAAATTAGTTAAAATAAATATTTTTGAAAAGTGCATGTGGCTTTGCCAAATAGTTTTACTGAAACAATGCCGAATACAGCTACACAATTCACTTCGGTTTTACCAAACCATGCTACAATTTGATAATTAAGTGATAGATGGATAATCACGTTAATATCTTGCTTTATGGCTATTTCGGAATCAACTAAAAGTTCACGAACTAAAAAGAATATCGTCAGGTATGTAAAATTTTACTACCGAGAGGACAGATGATAACAGAAATTGAATAAGGGACATGGAACCGTCTACTTTTAAGCAAAAATTTAATTTCTTGTATAATATTTGACCGATTTGGTTCTAAAAAACTTCATTATGTTCTCATCGTTCAGTTTGAAAATGGGCGCATATGGGCTCACTTTACAAAAACGTTATGTAAAGAACCAATAGCTTATTTTATTTTAGAACATATAAACATATTTGTATAGCATAAATTCAGTCTCGAAAATTATTGTTATAACACTCACATTTTAGAGTAATCATTTAAGTGCAGCTAATTGCCGTGATTTCCAAATTTCACAGTCGCTAATTTCCTAACAAGTTATAGCAATTCTTATTAAAGTAACCATCTTCTATTGAAAAGCATTATCTTGCGCAAAAATATCATACATTTTAAGTTAGAAATATTGCTTACTCAGCCATTAGCGAGCGCATACTATCTCGAGTGTAAGGTAAATATACAAATACATGAAGTAGATATGTCAAGAAACAAATGGCTAAGCTCAGACCACCAAGGTCTCCAGCTTGGCGAACTGTAGCCGGCCGATCTTAGGTTAGCTGTGAATACACAATAACCAGCTCCTGACCAAGAGCGACAGGAGAGCAGGGTTCAAAATAAGCATCCACAGCCCCTAAGTGGCTGCCCCCAGGGAATACCTACCCATGAGAGGGAGGCAACAGAGCGACGCGGGACGCAAACAAATACAAATATCCCCATTTGTATCCATTTGTACAAATGCACGGAAAGAACTACCTCGGTCTCGCGCCCATCAGGGTCGAGACCAGTAAGATCCTGATTAAAGTATACTGGAAAAAACTAATACGACTAAAATTGCTTTCGGCCTGGTGAGAGTGCTATTCTTCCACTTCAGGAAGCAGGGATGACACCCTGCTGAAATGGCTGGTAGGCTAATATCATAATCGCCTCCGACTCGTTAAAACCCTGGCAGGTCTTCAAGTACGTTCAAAGCTCGTCACCATTAAATTGGTCGTACAGGTTCGGTTGAGAGAACTCCTGATTAGAGCCTGGCAGGCTCTGAATACAATGTCCCATGAGGACTTGTGTCAACACTCGCGAGACCTACCGCAGGTGTAGACAACCTCGGTACAACGTGCGGCGATAGCGACTTGAAGCGGAGATCCAATTGAATATGAATACACAAAATCAAAACAAAAAAAAACGACAATAGTGAAGGAAAGTCACAACAAGAGGAACAGAACAACAAAAACGACGAATACAGCAATGCTTTTCGTAGAAGCAGCAGGGTTCTGGGATCACCAGTGTTACAACTAACACCAGTCACACAAAAGAGCGCGAACACCAGCCAAGAAAACTTGGTATCGACCGAGTCTACATCGACGATCTCAGCAACAAACCTGGAAAGACTAATGACCAATTGAAACCAACAACCAACCGATTACTGCTCCCGCGTAGTACCCGTCTTGCAGAAACACGCACCGCTAAATGGAGAAGCCGAAAAGTGGAAAACAGCGATGCCGAAGAAAACAAGAAAACCCGACGATCGTCAAAAATCGACAAAAAGCTCCACAAAAACTGATTTCTCAGGAAAGCCAATAGACCAGCACACCTGGCTTGGGATTGCAAGGAACGAGACAAAAGAAGGGAAGGTATATGTATAAAATGCGGACAACCGGGACACAGGCTTAAAGAGTGCAACAAGCTTCCAACCTGCTGCATATGCACAGAGGCCAAACTTAGCCGAACGGATCACCTACTGGGCTCAAGTACATGCACGGTATTTAAAGACTTCGTAAACAAATGAAAGTTCTCAAAACCAACATGCACACAAGTAAAACTGACGCACTCCTGACTCAAATGACAATGGAGCGCCATTACGACGTTGTCATTATAAGCGAGCAATACAAGAGGAAACAGAGTGAAACATGGATAGCAGACAGCAGTGGCACTGCCGCGACCTGGCTGCCCCCCAGTAACAAAATAGTCACTCCAGGAAGAGGAATCGCGAACGGTTTCGTCTGGACCAAATGCGACCTCTGCACCATAATAAGCTACTTAACGCCTAGCGATAATATCGATGACTTTAAAGCCAAATTAAACAACATAGAAGACAAAGCTTGAGACTTTGGAGGAGACTTTATAAAAGCAAGAGATTTTAACTCAAAAGCTGTTGAATGGGAAATGCGAGGAAAGACCGATGGAACCACCCAACGACGAACCCCTCTTTACCAACGAAGAGCTGCAAACGGCGGCATAGAAACTTAAACCAAACAAAGCACCCGGACCAGAAGGTATACCCGCAGAGGCACTAAAGATAATCGCCCAAAGCCGCCCAAACGTGCTACTTGGAATGTTAAATACCTGTCTCAAAGCCGGCGTATTTCCAGAAATTTGGAAATCAAACCACAGCTCGTGTTAATAAGTAAAGGTAAAGGCGATCCAGACAACCCATCAGCATACCGGCCTCTTTGCATGCTCGACACAGTTGGTAAGCTTCTCGCGAGAATGCTGAAACCAAGGATTGAAGAAGCAATCACGACGGCAGGCGGCTTATCATCTAAACAATACGGCTTGAGACCTGGTAAATCAACCTTGGGGGCAATTGAGAATGTCGTGAGGAGCGTAGAAGCAGCGCACAGAGGATGCAACAAACTCAGACGAGTTGTTTTACTCGCCACCCTTGACGTTCGGAACGCCTTCAACAGCACTCGATGGGAAAACATGGTTGAAGCATTAGAGGAAAATTTTAAAATAGTCTTGCTGTATCTTTGTTCAGAGCTTTTAGTAGGTCCACGACACTTAAAGGTCACGTCAGAAGCTGCGCAGGGATCAATCCTCGGCCCAGGCCTCTGAAACGTCAGTTACGATGGCATATTAAGCCTCGACATGCCCGAAGATACTTAACTAGTTGGTTACGCAGACGACATCGCCTCAATAATCACTGCGAAAGACACCGAAGATGCGCGCAGGAAGTTTAACCAGGTAACGATCAGAGCACAAATGTGGCTTGATGCGAGAGGTATCAAACTTGCCACTGCAAAAACCGAGCTGGTACTGCTAACAAAGAAGCATATTCCGACTATAATAGTCATTAGGACAACAACAGAGACACTAAGGTCACAAAAGGTTGTCAACTACCTGAGGGTAAGATTAAACTCCAGGCTTATCTACTGGGCACAAATTCAACACGCTGAGGAAAAGGCATTTAAGATAACTTGTCAACTGAGCAAGCTTATGTGCAATATTGGAGAACCGAGACAGGAAAAACGGAAACTTTTGATGTCGACAATACTAAATGTCTTGCTCTACGGAGCAGAGCTATGGGCAGACACATTGAGGAAAAATAATCGACGCACAATATAATTTGATATTGAAAATTGCAGGAGCATTGTCAGGCGATGGCAAACCGTCGAATGAATTTCCGCCACGAAATAGATTCTCATAAAACCCGTAAAAAAATAAACAGGAACCAGACATATTCTATCCTGATTAAGCGCCTAGTCAAACTTAGTTAAATCGGCCATACACACACATACATACATTGTTGTGTATGTATCTATGTATTTTAAATCCCAATAACAAAAATTAAATTAAAAACAAAAAAATGTTTACAAAATACTTTTGTACTTACTACCTAATGTTAACAGTAGTGAATTAACTGGACTCGAGTGTGACATAAGGCAGTATTGGAGCACGTTAATATCCTCGACAATAAAAAAAAACTTTTACTTCGGCTGCACATTAGCAATTAATGAAAAAGCGCTATCAAGGCAAATAGGGAGCCAGGAATGCTAGCAGATTATTGTTGGAGACTTAAAACAGACCTTCCAGAAGCTAAATATGCACTAAAATCATAATTATTTTTTCTATATCAAGCAATAATTTCACTTAATGTCGTTAATGTGTGTACTTTTTGGGAAAATATATGTTTTCATGTCACAAGACTTACATATTATTGTTTAGTGGAACTAGTACTTTCAACACTTGACTTTTCATGTGACAAAAAAGGTTAAAATATTGTTAACCTGTGTTATTTATATTTCATAGGGTCTTCGACGTTTCCTTCTGGGTGTTTAAAACTTCATGGCAAACTTATTGTAGGGGGTATTCACACCGAACATGTTAATAAGTAATTCGTTAGTTGATACTTCGTTGAAACACTTAACTGTGAGCATACTTTTTTCTATCTCTCAGTAGTTGTGGAGAACTTTGTTCCAAAACAGCTGATTAAATTTTTTTAAATACTTTCTTTTGCAAAAATGTGTCTAAAATTATCTTGTAGCGAACAACAAATGTATTTTTTCATCATGAATCCAATGAACGACGCAAAACAAACAGCTGATTTGATGTTACCAAACAACCAAAAAAAATTCTAAAGCTTAACTTCTTTACTTAGTAGGTACCCCTGTTTAGGGTATACAAAGAAATAGGAAATTTAAACACGTATTTAGTTCACTTACCTCTTGCGGTGAGTTTCTTTGTGTTGATAATTTTCGCTGCAAACTCAAATTGTGTTGATTTTTGAACACAACGTTTGACGACAGAGAAGGCGCCCCTGTTAAATAGGTAATTATTTTATTAAAAATATACCACAACATCATATAAAATAAAATACATAACAATTAATTTTCTTATATATTACATATACAATATAAAAGAGAGTCGGGTTAGTTTTACTATTTACAATATTACTTCAGAACGGCTAAACCGATTTGGATGAAAATTAGTGGAGGAATGTAGCCTAGGATCATAGGACGGACATAAGATACCTTTATATCTTTCTATGTTAAAAGTCAAAACAATTCCAAATACAAAATATATTTCAAATCATTAGCATGTGTTCAAAATTCATTTGAATATTTTATTATTTCAAAAAATACATAGCTCCTGCAAAAGAACAGCAATGATCAAGGGGGTTTTTTTTTGGACACACCATGTGTAACCGGTAAGATATTTCTAATATCACAACAGAAAATCGCATTGACACTTCCATCGCCATGAGGGCATAATGGCTCACAAATATTTTCGAAGAACTGCACAGAACAATGCAAGATTTAAACGGCAACGATGAACTTTTCAAGGGTGCTGTCTTGATTTCCGACAGACCGGTCGGTCATTCTTTGCTTTTCTTAAACCAAGGAGATTAACGAATGTTAAAACAATTGTTGTTATGGTGAAGTGTTGAAAAACTTTGATATTAGGTATATTGGGGCTAGGTGAAGTATTGAACCGATTTTACGATTTGGCATAAAGACATATCGTTGCCAGAAAAAGACTCTCCCTGAGTTTCATTAAGCTTACATTTCGACCGATATATAAGCTATAAAGTAAAACAAAGTTTTGAAAAACCTTCTTTTAAGTATATATTGAGACGTTGGATGTCATATGTCACATGTCAGTCTTATTAAAGTCTTATTTTTAACAACTTTTCGGTTTTAATAGTAATGGAAGCAAAGCGAAAAATAAGAAAGACAAATTATTATTAAATTGGATATTATATCTGGAACAGACATGTGGTAACAATATCCAAATACAAATATTATGGTATTTTATGTACTACGTTTGATGACATACATATATAGCAATGTAGTCAGCTCAAATACTAGCTTTGTTTCATAGGCTATAGATAATTTAAACTGCGCGCACATGGCTTTATTTATAAATTCCTCGTAGTTTGCTCACATGTTGGTTAAGGAGTTTATATTGGTAGTGCTCAATTCAATGCTCATTTTTTCATACTTTCCATTTTATTTATTGTGTTGTATTAGGGCGTTAGGAAGAAATCGCAACCTGAAAATTTCGGCCACATATATGGAGTCTCTGTCTTGTTGAAACCAAAAACCGTAAATTAAACTAAATTGTTCGTCACATTGTCTCAAATTGTTTTTTAGAGTATTCAAATTTGACAATATTAGAAACAATACAATCAAATGTTCCAACCCCCACCAGCTGTCATGATCTCCCACATCATCACACCTACTCCACGATATTTGACAGCAAATTTTCTTTGTTGAGCCCTGTACCCGATCTTCTCCACAGGATTTTCGGATCTTTGATACCAAAGATACTAAACTTACTCTCGCCAGAGCATAAAAGTTTCTTCCAAAACTCTGGGGGCATATTAAAATAGTTATTTGCGAATGTTACCATGTTTATGCTGCAATTCTACTCGGTTATATTCTACACGGGTAAAACCTAAACAGGGATGGGCACGACGACAACCAAACGACTCTCACCAAATGATATTGTGTTAGTGCGTTTACAGTGAGACGACAACGTTCTAATGAATAAATCAAATTTAATATTATTTCTGGATAAAAACCATTTAGGTAATAGTTGGACTTTAAAAAAACAGGATTATATGATGATATTTGATAAAGTAGTTTAATTTCATACGTAAAATATGGACCTCCGTCCGCACCAAACCGTTTAGTCAACGACACTTACTCAGAAGATTTAGGCTGTTAAGTAGATTATCTAGCTAATCTACTGGATTTAGAAAGATTTCGCCTTACACAAATGACACCTGTTTATCTCGTCACCGTGGTGATTTGAATTTAATCTACTCCAAATTTCCCTGTGCGACTCTGATTTGGTGCCATCTCTTTGTCACATTTTGTTTTATCACACTCATTTTGACACTACAAACTGTCAACTGAAAAAATTAAAGCAATATCAGGTAAATAAATTAAAATGGCAGAAAAAAGTATAAAAAAAAGGGGAGTAAGGCTGCAGAAGCCGATCTAATAGCGTTTTACGATCTTTGTTTGTGCGTGTTAGTGAAAATCTGTGTATGCGTATACGATCCCTTATGCTTCAGTTAATGACCGACGTTCCATCTTTCGGTACTTACCGCCCGTTATAAAAAAAAAATGTGTAAAAAGTTATGCCCGTAGTGACAACGTAGAAATCAGTTGTTCTCTTCTGTTTTCATTTGAGCAATGTTCCCATTGATCGAGACCCGGTACCGGTTGCTAAAAGACGTCAGTAAAGTTGGTTACTAACATAAGGGTTAACTCTAAAGTCGTTTATGCACCCAAGTTAGCACGTCTATCTACATATGTAAAGCAAATGTGTATATTCTATTCGAATAGATGAATTAACTGGTGGTGAAAAAGTGTTTACGCATGTGGGTTGAACTTCGCCCGTGTAGAATATAACCGAGTAGAAAGGAAGCATAAAAATGGTATGTGATGCTTTTTCGTCGATTACGCAAAAATAAATGTGGTTTTTTTACTAAAAAAATACATACCCTACTTTCTACAAAATGCTTCTGGCGAGGCAAGCGCTTAAGGCCTTTTGGAATTTTTGCTGACTATCGATAGCGCAGCGTACTATTCGCATCTTAGCTAATTGAGAATAAAGTATATAAAAATCGGTAAGGAAGGGCTAAGTTCGGATGTAACCGAACATTTTATACTCTCGCAAAGTCAAATACTCGTTTGAGATTTCTTTGTGGATTGGCTGATATTTTCGGTAGAAGGTCAACTATAGGCACTGGGGTCCACATATTTAGTACTTAGGGGCTTGAACAGTTTTGGTTCGATTTAGACAATTTTTGGTCACAAGGTGGCATTCTTTAAACGTATTATTCACGCAAAGTTTTACGCCGATATAATCATTGTTGCTTGATTTGCATAGTGGAAAGTGAAAGAATCAAGTGGAATTTAAAATGGTGTCATATGGAAAATAGGCTTGGCTGTAATCCGATTTCACCCATTTTCGCACCATAACATAGAAATATGATGTTATGTACCAATTTTGGTTGAAATCGGTTAAAAAGATCCCAAGATATGGGTTTTCACCTAAAAGTGGGCGGTGTCACGCCCACTGTCTAATTTTGAACGCGGTTCCTATAAAGTCATCTCATACCATCCCTGAGATAAAATTTAATGTCTCTGGCGTGTTTAGTGCTTGATTTATCGCGCTTTTAGTGGTTTTTAACAGTACCGTTACATGGGGAGTGGGCGGGGTTGTCACCCGATTTCACCCATTTTCACACCGTAGGTCGAGGTGCTAAAAACATTTGCTTCCAGTGAATTTTGTTATTATGTTTTAGCAGTTTAGCAAATATGCACATGAAACCTATTAGGGGCGGGAACACGCCCACTTAAAAAACAAAATTTTAACTGCAGATGCCCCTCCCTAATGTGATCTCGTGTACCAAATAACATTCTTGTATCTTATTGCGGAGCTTAGTTATGACAATTTATTCGTTTTTGATTAATGGCGTATTGTGGGCGTGGCAGTGGTCCGATTACGCCCATCTGCAATACCAACCGTCTTACTGTACCAAGTTTCATAAAGATATCTCAATTTTTACTCAAGTTACAGCTTGCACGGACGGATAGACGGACGGATCATCTCGTCTCTTCATCCTGATCATTTATATATACATAACCCTATATCTAACTCGATTAGTTTTAGGTGGTACAAACAACCGTTAGGTGAACAAAACTATTATACTCTGTAGCAACATGTTGCGAGAGTATAAAAAGTTTCAGTTAATTAAATAATAATTCCTATGATTAAAAGCAGAAAACATTTATTTTGCAGAGGAGCGTAGACTTATGACGTGTTGTAGCCAGTTTCATCAAGATATCTCAATTTTTACTCAAGTTACCACTTGCGCCGACAGATAGTCACTCGGAATTCAACTCGTTTTGTCATCCTGATCATTAAATATATATAACTCCATATCTATCTTATAAAAAACTTTTTCTTAAAAAACTTTACATACATAATTCTGATCTTTCAGCTTGTATGTATGTCAGCTATATGCTTTAGTGGTACGCATAAATACAGACCGACAGACATGACTAAATCAAATCAGCTCATCAGGCTGATCATATACATATATAGACCCGACGACATCCTACTGGATGTTACAAACTTCGTAGCAAACTTAATATACCCTCTTCAGCTTATAACAATTGTTAAGAAATCAGTGATGGTCATAAACTTAATAATACGTCGTTCATTACGCAGCTTCATCCACCAACAATTCTTTGACAGGCTGGGGTGCCAACGATGATGTGCGCTAAAGCTACCTAGTACTAAACGGTTCTAGCTACGAAGCAGCGCACCTAAGTTTGGGTGACATCATAATATGGTCGAAAAATTATGCCCTGACAATCTAGGGTATGACGTTGTTGATGCTGCAGACCCGCGGAGACTGTTGTCGCACGGTGTTGTTCTTTGGCGACGCCATTGGAGGAGGTTGAGGAGTCAAACTCCTACAGCAAGGGGCAACGAGCGATATACTTTACTTACGTGTGATGCGCCGGCCGACACACGTTTGGAAATGATACTTGCTGCTCCTCCATTACATGTGTTACATATAAGAAAATTGCTGTTTGGATGAAGCCTTTTGAATCAAACTCAGCAGGAAATTTCTTTCGCGTTGGACTCAATTCCAGGACGGAGCGGTAGGCCTCCTGCTAGGTGTTGCTCTAATGATGACAGAATTAATTTACTTACCGATTCAAACACGGTTAGATCTTTGATATAATAGCTCTTAGCCGGATAAATTACGGTTCAATGCCGGTAACGGCTTGTGTGGGAATTGACATTATTAATCAGTTGATTTATTTAATTTATTTTTCTAATATGCAATAACCATTTAAAATTTTCAAACTTTACATAAATTTGCTGTTTGAATAAAAAAATAAATATTTCATAAATTCAAATTTCCTATGAGCATAATTTAACTGTGTTTTAGATGCATAGTTTAGGACAAGATATTTATATTCTGACATTTAGTCACAGAAAATAATACGTTTTGCTTTTTCAGGTTTTTCAAAAACTAAAGAGAAGATAACCATAACATCAGGAGTCTTATGACGGCGGTCCTTGTCGAATAAAAAATGTAAGAAATTAGAAATGATTCGGAAAGTCTTACTTACTCCTGCCATAAGTTCTGTTACAAGTTAATGTTGTTATAAAAACTAGACTGTTATACATATTTTAAGAAAGTTAATTTTACCTAATAATGCATGTAATTAAAGAACGATGTACGAAATTTAATTCATCACCTTTTACTTTCACACTAGCCCCCAAACGATTCGGCATTTGATCAATAGTCCCACGCACAGTTTCTATTTATATTGACGACACTGCTCGAACCAAAGATTTTTGAAACTCAAAATTTTGGTATTTCAGTGGGGTATTCGACAGCCCATGTTCTCTAACTCTGACCACAAACTGTAGTCCAATGGGTTCAAAACTATACTTCCAGACGGCCAATCATCTGCAGCAATGTAACCAGAAATATTGTTTTGAAACCACTACTGGGTTGTTTTTGCCTTGTGTGCTGGAGCAGAATCTTGCTGCAAGATCTAATGCTTTCCATCGATGAGAATAATGCTTAACTGCTTTACCACGCCTTCTAAAACATCCTGCTGATAACTTTTGTTTCAGTCTGAACCCCTTACAGGAGACTCCCCACCAACCCATTATAGCAGCTGGATAATGATCACGTTGAATACTCAAAATAACATTTTTTGCTGCACTGAAGAAGCTGCTTGCAGCGGGATTAACGTTTGCTTCAAGCGTGGAGATCGTCTCAAAAAAGTCTTGACATTGATCTGGTCAATATATCCTTGATATATTTTTCTGTTTTTTTGGGCTTTATGGTTAAATTGGTTCGAACCGCAAGAGGACAACCATTTTTCTTTTTCTCATTAACTGCAGACGTCTGAGAAAAACGATCAATAGTCTGGTAAATAAACAATCTTGAAATATATAGTTTTTTAAAAAGCTCATAAATTACACTTGCGCATTTTTCACACTGAAATCAAGCAATCACCGCAATATTATTAACACGTGAAAGCAAGCATTGAACTGATTCTTATATATGAGTGGTGACAGTATATACAAATTATTGGGTTGGCAACTAAGTAATTGCACTCATAGATGGCTTCAGTTGAATTTTTAGATTTGCTGGCGTAGTCCAAATGTAAAACACATTTTGTTATTTGATAGTTGGCAATTCAGCTGTCAATCAGTAAAAAAAAGGTTTTTGATCGGTTGCGTAGTTTTCGTTTGGCGTTCGTTGAAAAATGGAAGATCAAAAGGAACATTTTCGTCATATTTCGCTTTTTTATTTTCGCAAAGGGAAAAACTCAACAAAAAGTTTTGTGCTGTTTATGGCGACAAAGCCATAAAAGAACGGCAGTGTCAAAATTGGTTTGCCAAATTTCGTTCTGGTGATTTTTCACTCAAAGATGAAAAACGCTCTGGTCGTCCAGTTGAAGTTGATGACGACCTAATCAAAGCAATAATGGATTCGGATCGTCACAGTACAACACGTGAGATTGCAGAGAAGCTTCAGGTATCACATACATGCATTGAAAATCAGTTAAAAGAACTTGGCTATGTTTAAAAACTCGATACATGGATTCCTCATGAACTGAAAGAAACGAGTTTAACGCAACGCATTAACAGCTGCGATTTGCTAAAGAAACGTAATGAAAATTATCGTGGAGCAGGCCTGGTGAACCAGCTCAAACAACATCAAAAGCTGGTATTCATCAAAAGAAGGTTTTGTTATCAGTTTTGTGGGATTATAAAGGAATTGTCTACTTTGAACTCTTACGAACGATCAATTCTGTTGTCTACATTGAACAACTAACGAAATTAAACAATGTAGTTGAAGAAAAGCGGCCCGAATGGATAAATCGAAAAGGTGTTGTATTTCATCATGACAATCTTTGGTCACTCGGCAAAAATTATTGGAGCTTGGTTGGGATGTTTTGCCACATCCACCATATAGTCCTGACCTTGCACCATCGGATTACTTTTTGTTTCGATCTTTACAAAACCCCTTGAATGGTAAAAATTTCAATAATGATGATGATGTCAAATCGTACCTGATTCAGTTTTTTGTTAATAACAACCAGAAGTTTTATGAACGTGGGATTATGATGCTGCCTGAAATATGGCAAAAGGTCGTTGATCAAAATGGGCAATACATTACAGACTAAAGTTATTTAGTTCCATGAAAAATTCCTTGATATTTTTAAAAAAATCCGCAATTATTTAGTTGCCATAATAAAAAATAACGATACTTTTTTCTGCGAATTTGTTTTCGTTGTATGCATGGTAAATTTTGTAACAGAATGGCAAGACTATGTTTATATGTGCATACAATACAGAGGAGAACTTTTTCTGTCAAGCTATACTTCTCTCAACCGCTAATTCAGAGTTTCCATTCTACAGTGTATTGTTTTTTTCTGAAAAATGTTAGGGCAAGAGAGCATTCAAAGTAATTTACAGTGAGGTAGTTGCAGTCAAGGTGCGATTTTTTTATTTTTTGCGATTGATATGCTATCAGACATATCAAGGACAATCTATCTTTTCGGTAAAAATTGGTCGAAAATCGCAATTGGTGTTTTGTAAAAGATTATCTCTTATACTTTAATTAAATTTTAATATATTTTGAATGTTAGCCTTATATAACCACAACATTTGACTTACTTTCCAAGTTCCTCCTTAATTTCATAATTATCGGAAAAACGCGTACAGGCTGCTGGAGCAGCCATCGCGATGGCACACTTAAGAAAATCTATTTCGGCAGTAAACGCAACTTAAGTTTGTGACTAGAATTATCTTTCTTTGTTCTATATTTGGTCAATGACTGTATACTAATTAACAGTAACTGCTGAAGGTCCCAAAAAGAGCGTCGATTGCAAAGGAAAGCTAAAACCTTGGAGTTGTTATCATTGATTATATGTCTGTTATGTAAATGAGCTTATCCTTTAAATGCTGTGGAGTTAACTTGTATGTGTGTTCACTTCAGTGAATGTTGTGGATCATCACGGACTTCTGTAAATATATAAAGAAATAAAACATCTAATTAGCGCCTTAAATTTTTTGCTAATAATAATAAAATTTGCACTATGGTTCAAGGAAAATAATGCAAAAAAAATCTTTAGGAGCGTACGATGATAAATAATTAATATACTCCCGCATAATATTGCGCTGAGCGAGAGTACTGCGATAAAGAAAAACGTTAGAAACTTTAAATACAAGCTACTGTGATGATACAGTAGGTTGACATTTAGATATGTTCTCTTCCAGCCAGGTTCATTCGCTTATGATCGTTTGATTGATCAGACGGAAAGTTACGCTGCCTAGTTGAGCTCCTTGGGACCGCAGAGATCTTTCGTTGGCCACTCGACTGGAGTGGCAGCGCAGTGCAATCCGTTTCCACGACAGTCGGGTTTATCTAACCGGAACGGACCCGGATTTTTATCCGGCCAAGGACTGTCAACTCGGCAGAATTCAGCCGCTACAACTACTACTACAACTAGGTGCAATTTGCTCAGCCGTAGAGGCTAGTGCCGCAGTTTTGCGTCGGCAGCTTCGGACCATATGACGAGTGGCCCATTCCCTTTGTGTCTCAAGATCAGAGCAGGTCTTAAGATGGCTCCAACTATTGCATGTGTTACAGTTAATCGAGATGGAGTTTAGATGGAGCCTTTTGGCGCAAACGCAGCAGAAAGATCTTCCGAACCGGGGTTAATTTTACGTTGCGTTGCGTTTACGCTAAGATAACGTTGCGTTACGTTTACGTTTTACATTAGGTTACGTCTAAGTTAACGTTACGTTGTTTTAACATTTTAACTTTCTAACAAAGTATCCGGTATTTATTAATTTTTAGCAAAAGGTTTCATAACTGCTTGTGGCGGGTAAATCTTAGAAAAGCATTCCCCGAATTCGGGTATGGGTATGGACGGATAGAGCAGGTTCTCCAGATTAAGAAAATATATTAGGTAAAGTAAAAAGTTGGTTCGGTTTTTTATTGATTTTTCAAAAGATGATAACTTTGTGTACATTTTTCCGATTTAAATCAAATATGCGCCGTTTTGTTCGTAAACTTGTTGCCAACGAGATGCCAACTTCATTATACCCCTCTCGTAGAAGACTGCGTCCCTATTGCCAAAAAACTCGGAGAGCCAATTTTCACAGGCCTCTCTTGAGGCCAACTTCTCACCATTAAGCGCGTTCGCCATGGACAGGAAAAGATGGTAGTCACTTGGTGCCAGGTCGGGACGATAAGGTGGGTGCATTAGAACCTCCCATCCGAGCTCCAGGATCTTCTGGCGAGCCACCAAAGACGTGTGTGGCCTGGCGTTGTCTTGATGGAACACAATTAGGCCTCTGTTGATCAAAGATGGCCGATTTTGTTGCGATTCTGCAGTGATTTGCAGATGGAAATTCGGTCCTTCATGCTTTTGCGTTAGTTCGTGTGGCACCCAAACATCGAGCTCCTTTTTGAATCCAAGGTTATGCAAATGGTTCCAAACGGTTTCTGGCTTATCTTTAGTTCCCCAGCAATTAAATAAGTGCTCACGTGACGGTCTGTTTCCACTATTTCCATGATTTTATCGCAAATTTCGACGACAGCCCTCCCGACGCGTCGTGCATCTTTGACATCGAAATTACCGGAACGGAACCTAGCAAATCACTTTTGTGCTACACGTTCGTTTCCAGTATCGGGCCCATAAACTAAATTAATGTTTTCAGCCGCTTTGGCTGCTTTTTCGCTTTGATCGAAGAAAAATTGAAAAAAATTGCAAATTTTCTCTTTGTTGGTGTCCATCTTTGACGAGCGCTCACAACGAACTGAGTAAATCAATCGAAAAACTGTCAAACACAAACTTTTAGCGGGAATAAACACGTTTTCAGCGCCGTATAGTATGACATGATGCGACACGTAACACTAGTACTATGGATAATAACGCCATCTCTTAGATAAAAACCGAACGAACTTTTTACTTTACCTAATATAATATACAGTGCTGAAAAAAATAATAGAAACAAAAGCTGCTTACATTTGGTGTCTTCAAATATTCAGTAAAGAACTAAAGTAATTTAATTTTGGTTTTTTAACATAGGATTTTTCTTTTAATTTTCTGTTAACAAAAAAAATGTTTGTTTAGAGCCTCCATTTTTTTTTTAATATAACCCTCAAGTGCTCTATCGGATTTCGGTCAGGGGATTGAGCAGGCCACTCCACTACATCATTTTTCTGGACCTGCAACCATTTATTAACAAGTTTTGAGGAATGTTTGGGTTCATTATTTTTTAATTCAGCAATTTCCCTTATTTTTTTTCTACACTTTAAAGTTTTTTTTTATGATATTCCGTTTTACAGCTGTACAGTGAACTTCGCGAGCCATTCTGATCATAAAAGTCGAATTGAATAACACATTTTCAGAAAATGGATAATTTGTAGCTGAACTTACTTTAAAATATTAGATCAAAACACCTTTTTACGAAACTAACAGAAAAAAAACGTTAAATATTCGCGAAGTCGGGGCTTGTTGCAACTTTTTTCCAGCTTAAACACGTGGTCACACATAAGATCGCAAATTACGGAAAATATAAAAGGCGAAATCGACTAAAATAGGAGAGCACAATAAAGTAACCGTTATCAGTGCTCTATGTGAATTCGGTTTTATGTATATCATTTACGCACATAATAAAAATATGGTTTTAAGTACAGGAGTGGATGTTGTTTCAATTTTTTTTTCCAACATGTCTATGATTCAACATTTAATATTGCTTGTTCAATAATTTTTTTCCACAGAATAACAAAAGGGTTGCATTCTAACAAGTAATCAAGATTACCTTCACTTCACAAAAATAACCCTGGTCGGTCCAACACCGGGGTGTCTTCCGTTTTTTCGCGTAGAATTCCTTTTGGCTTTGGAGGTCTTCGTCGCGCCTCAAAAAAAAAATAACCCTGCTCGGTCAAACACCAAAGTGTCCTTAATTCTTTCGCGAACAACTTCTTTTTGCGTTGACGGCCTCGCTTAAAAAAATATAACCCTGGTCGGTCCAACACCGGGGTGTCTTCAGTTCTTTCGGTCAGAACTCCTTTTTAGGTTGGAGGCCTTCGGCCGCGGTTAAAAAAAATAACCCTGGTCGGTAACACCCACCAGAATTTATCAATAAAAAAGAAATTCTGAAGATTTTACGATATTGTTTGTAAAATATAGTAACACTTTTTTTGTTTTGGATGCAACCATTTCGTTATTGTATGAATAAATGGATTTGAACAAAAGTTAAATATTGAAATAAAGTTATTTTCGTACTATTTAATAAAACACTAATGTGTAGAAATGAATTAGTAAAGTGTTAGTGGATGTGAAAGTTAAAAATATAGGTGTAAAATTCATTATAAATCGAAGAAACACGCACCACAAGCCAGCGGTAATTATATATATATATACACTCGCCAGAAAAACCTGTGTACACGCTAATGTTATTTTCTTTTGTTAAAAAATAACTTTTATATACTAAATTTATTACTAGTCTATTTCATAATTCAATAGAATTTAAAGCAATGAAAATCTGACACCATGGTTTTACAGGTAAAGTTACAAAAAAATAGTAATTCTGCAGCGTGGAAAAACTCTGCGTACAAGTAGTAAAATGATGATTTCCTATGCAATAACCAAATGTAAAAGTGTCGATCAGTTATAGTTTTACTTTTAAAAGAAAGGAATTAGCCTTTCTGAAAGAGATATAATGGTTAAACTTTTCGACGAAGGAAAAACATACCCTGAAATCGGTCTGATTGTTGAAAGAACACATTCTTTCATACAAAGAGTAACAAAAAATTTTACAAACATACCGGCGTTTTTGTATCGACTTGTGCGACAGGGCGGCCAAAAATACCAGCACAGCATGAATCTCGTAACGTTCTGCTACGTGTGAAGAAAATCTTTAGATTTACTGCATCCGAAATTGATCAAAATGTAAAAAAAAAAATTTAAGAAATCCCTCTGCACTGACACCATTCGCAAAAAAAAAAAAACACAGGCTGTTATGGTCAAGTCGCACACAAGAACTCATTCACATCGCTTGTTAATAGATAAGTGCATTATGTTGAGGGGCACTTAAATAAGCCCCGAGGGTTGCGGCAGAAAGTTATTTTTTTCCAATTAGGCCATGTTTTGCGTCTTTGGGATCAAGGTGCGCAAGATTTTATGGCGAAAAACGGGCACGGCACTCGATAAGGAAACCTTGATGCATACTGTGAAGAAGCAATGATATGGAGGTGTATAGCTAGTAACTGTGTGGGCCAAATGGAATTTATAGAGTCCACCATGGTTTAATATGCATATCTTAATATCTTAAAAATAAATTTGAAGCAGAGTGGTAGAATTCGGTTTTGGAAGTGACTTCTATTTTCCACAGGATAACGATCCGAAACATACAGCAGACATTGTTAAGCTTTAGTTACTTTACAACGTTCCCCATCAGCTTCAAACACCACCAGATTCATCAGATATTAATTCTGAATTGCTCCCATGAGATTCACTGGTACGTAAAATCCGGGATAAGGATATACTAAAAGATATACTGCACGAGGAATGGGCTGACATCCCTTCAACAGAAAGTTTGTATATTGTATGTATAGTTGGAGATATCCAACTTCTTATTAAATTTTGAGAATTCGTAGGAACAATAACTTTATTCGACTTATGTACTTTGTACGCAGACTTTTTCTAATGGACTTTCTACTCGTCCGTATGTTTTGTTTGGTTTATACGTTACTGTCGGCTATTTAATCACTTTTATTTTCATAAAACTACAAATTTAATGTCCTTTAATGAAAATCAAATAAATTGGTTTTTATTTTTATAAGTATATAGTTATTTTTTCCAACAATTTAATTTTGTTGGTACCTTGTACGCAGACTTCTTCTGTCCAGTGTGTATATATTTCTATTATATACAACTTCATCTATCCGTGAATACCCATTTTAACCGCGAGTTCGGCGGATACTATTTTAAATCCTAGCCCTTGTA